CACTTCCCCACAACCTTCCGGCTGTAGTAGAGCTCCTGTCCGTCCACTTTCGTGTGCAAGTCCAGGTCCGACTTGTTCGGCCCGTCGCCGCCCCAGGTGAGCGTGACGGTGCACAGTGAGGTCACCGCCTTGTCGCGCAAGATCTCCGCGACGCGGCTCACCTGATAGGTCTCCGGGTTACTCCGGTCATCCATCATCGCACGCAAGCCAGCGCGGCTGTGCGCTGCATCCATGAAGTCCACGAAGTTGCCGGCCTGCTGCAGGTCTGTGTGGATGGCGTCATAGCAGCGTCCCGTGAGCAGGGCATAGGACATGATCTCGAACTTCTCGTGCATTGCCAGCTGCGACCAAGTTCGTCCTCCCGCCTTCGACACGAAGTTCACGGCCCAGGACGTGACCGCCTTCCAGTGATCTGGGCGAACCAGCTTCGGGATCTCCTCCTGGATGATCTTCAAGGACGCGGGGTCGTCAACCAATCTCTGGAAGCCTCAGCGTTGCAGAAACAAAACAAAACAGCACGCAACACTACGGAACGCTCCAAGAAAGCCTTCAAGAACAGCCCAGACTCGGTTCTCGAAGGAGCCGTTCATGTAGTTCGACAGCTTCTTGATCTTCGCAGACACCGCAGGGTCCGTGAACTCTTCAAAGGTGAAGTGCACGTGCTGGAAGCCACCCAGGTGCTGGGGATAGCGCGCTGCGAACCTTTCGCGTCAGATGCCATGACGTGTTATAAAAATGGACCTGTGAGCATGCGGGGAAAGGTATGAGAGTGTAAGCGGTAAGGGCAAGGGGCTCGCGGTCGATCACGATGAAGTTGTACTGGGAGACGTCGGAACTCCGCTCCTGCTTCTCGCGGTTGGTTCCTTGGCTCCGGCAGCATCTAACAACCGGAGATCTAGCTGACAGCCAGCAACAAGCCTCACAACACAAATGGCCGCTGTGCAAAGCCCAGGGGCGGATCATGTCCACGTTCTCCTCAGAGACCTCCTGGCAGAAGGCGACGAAATT